ATGAGGCGGCTGGTGGTATTCAGGAACGACCTCCGCGATTTCCTGCTGAATGGCTCGGCGGAGCGGAGGTAGAAGTGTACTTGATGGCTGCTGAGCATGTTGCGACAGAGCAAAAGCTAGTAAAGAGACCTGGCGGGCAACTTCCTCGCGCACGAATGACTTGATTTCGGCGAGCAAGGTTGTGTGGTCAGGAACTGCTGACAAAGCCGAGAAACCAGCATCACGTGGTGGCGATCGACGGGTCATCAAGCGCTGCCGCCGCAGCTCGTCGTAACTTTGGCATAATGTAATGACTTCTGCCACAGTGAGAGGGTTCTTGGCCAGGAGCATGATGAAGGCATCGTCGGCGATGCCTTTTAGAACATGCGTGATTTTGTCAGCCTCTGACATATTCAGGTCGACTTTCTTGCACAAGTCGAGGATGTCCTCGATGTAACTTGTGAAGGACTCGCCGGTCTGCTGTGCTCGTTCACGTAAACGCTGTTCGGCTTGCAGTTTACGAACGGTAGGACGGCCGAACACGTCGACGACAGCGGTTTTAAAAGTGAACCAAGTCGGGAAATCAGACGCGTGGTTATTGTACCACATTCCAGCCACACCCGCGAAGTAGAAAAATAGGTTATCGAGTTTAGCTGCCTCGTCCCAATGATTGGGGATGCTCATGCGTTCGTACATGGTGAGCCAGTCCTCGTCGTCGGTGCCATCCGCGCCGGTGAAGACAGGAGGGTCGCAGATGCGGGGGACACCGGGACATGGCGTCGGCGTAGGAGGGAGCGTTCGCTGAGCGGCGTCCTGGTGCATGGTAAATGCACAGTACGGGATCGAAGCTCCAAGGGCATCGAATGCGAACCAAAGATGTTTGAGGGCACAGCATCTCCACCAAATTGTTAAGACGTTTATTGGCGGACACTCGTTGATGATCCACGACAGTGACAGTCAATGTGGGGACAGACTCTCTGCACGTGCTGCTCTTCTTCTTATGAAAGGGCGACCCACTAGAAGGCACTGGAGAGGACGACCCACTGTTCGTAGGCTTTGCCACAATAATATATATATATATACTATATATATATATATATATATATATATATATATATATATATATATATATAATATCTATAAGTCCTTCACGAATGCCCGTTGTCAGCTGGAGGATGTTATCAGCCCACAGAGAGTGATAAGCTACAGTCATCTTTCATTAAATTACAAGAGGAGCATGCACAAAAAAGATGAAGTTTGGCATGAAACACGCCTTTATAAAAAAAAGAAGAGAAAGGTACAGGATTCCTGGTAGCAGAGCTATAACAAAGGCATTGATAAACAAATGAAGTGGGCACCTCTGTTTCACATCTGGCGAGACCCACCTGTACAAGTTCCACACGAAGACATGGGCAGCTTAGGGCGAAGCTCACTTCCAGTTGCATGATGATGGATGGTAGCGCAGACAACGAACACGGACAAGAGAAGGCACATAGACACAACACAGCGCTAACTTTCAACAACAGTTTATTACACGCAGATCTCCGTGGTGTATGCGATCCACCACGCCAACGTCGCACGTGCGTAGCTCTAAAAACCATCAAATATAACCAACGCGCGTGTTCCAATACTTTACAATTTTATATTTTTCAATCTTTTTTTACTTTTTCTTTCTTCCTTTTATCCCATGTTACCACAAACCCTATCGCGAATACATGTAATCAAGTTCCTTATCTGTCAACACCACTGATGGGCTGCTCACACACGTGTCACCTAGCTCTGCAATTCTGCCGGCCTCCAATACCAACCGCGTCATCTCGTGCCTACTTCTATTGATTATAACCGTTTCCTTGAATTTCGGTGTGCACTTACATCTCTGGCAATGAAGGGAAAGAAAACCATCAGGAACAACACTATTTACTTTGTTATTGTGCTCGAGCAAGCGATCGTTTATGCATCTACTGGTCTGACCGATATAACACCTTCCACAAGTAAATAGTAAATAGTGTTGTTCCTGATGGTTTTCTTTCCCTTCATTGCCAGAGATGTAAGTGCACACCGAAATTCAAGGAAACGGTTATAATCAATAGAAGTAGGCACGAGATGACGCGGTTGGTATTGGAGGCCGGCAGAATTGCAGAGCTAGGTGACACGTGTGTGAGCAGCCCATCAGTGGTGTTGACAGATAAGGAACTTGATTACATGTATTCGCGATAGGGTTTGTGGTAACATGGGATAAAAGGAAGAAAGAAAAAGTAAAAAAAGATTGAAAAATATAAAATTGTAAAGTATTGGAACACGCGCGTTGGTTATATTTGATGGTTTTTAGAGCTACGCACGTGCGACGTTGGCGTGGTGGATCGCATACACCACGGAGATCTGCGTGTAATAAACTGTTGTTGAAAGTTAGCGCTGTGTTGTGTCTATGTGCCTTCTCTTGTCCGTGTTCGTTGTCTGCGCTACCATCCATCATCATGCAACCATACCAACAAGCCCAAATCGCCACCCTCATTGACCTCACTTCCAGTGTTCTGCGTGGCAGTGCTCACGGCCAACAGACGTATTTGTGACAAAGTTTTCACAAGATTTATTTTTCTTTTCAATAGATGCATTCATCTCAGAGCACCATTTTAACAAAAGCAAAACATGTCGTTCCGGTATGTTTACATCGCGTAACGGCTGAATTAGGTGTCCCATTTAATGAAAGACCCCGCTGCACAGCCAGGTCAGCCTAAGGCACATTTGCCTATGTTATACGCCTACTGTGAATGCAACTTGCATGGTCAATGTCTGTTAGCTCCAATGAGAGAAAGCTCCCACCAAAATACAACACAATTCCAGCTGTGCTGTGCTGAGCAACAGGCACAGAGCAATAGGCACACATGGCAGGCATGTAACATGTACACTTTAACCTCAATATAACGAACACGGATACAGCGAAATATAGGTTATAACAAAAGCACTGAAAAGTAGTGTTAAGAATAACCTTTATAAAAAATCTTTAATATAACAAACTTAATTTCCAGTAAGATGCAACCTTGATATAATGACGCTTGAGTGTATAAGCTTAGTGGTGAAGCTCTTCACGATCCTGAAACCGACTGTCATACAAGCGATGAATATGGCATGGCAAACTGATGACACTGGTCTTGGGCTTGTAACATGCAGCAGACAATCAAAGCCGGAGCCACAGTGGGCTTCCTCACTTCATCTGCACATGCAGTGCTAGTTATTAACCCAAAGGTGGGCTTTAGAATACAGCACAATGAGGTTTAATGAAAACCCACTGAACAAGAGACCCGCCACATAGAGAGACACCATACATCAGTATTCCGTGAGAACAGTGACGAATGTACCCGTACTTTGCCACTCGTCTACCACGTCATTCGGCCCTCACCTTTTTCACTGCTAAACTACCCACCGCAAACCTGCTGATCAGTCAAAGCTTCTTCCCTATGTCACACTCTACAAGCCGAGTGCAAGGCCATGTGGTGTGATCAATCATAACATGGCTTTGACACTAGGAGAAAGCAACATTATTTCTAGAGAAGCCCCTGCTTTGGAGGTTACTTCAATGCCAATGAGGCAGCCCGTGCAGGAGGCACGCAACAGTAAGCTCATATGGCTAACCAAAGAAAACCCGACACACTAGAGGGGAAGCACATTTAAATATTTAGTGTATATAATATTCATCTTTAATACACCTCTGCATTCAATTCAGCTACAAGTAATGTGATTGTCAATGGCACAGGCTCATTTTTCATCCGCAGCAGCCCCGATGCGCTGCCATGTGATCACGTGACCGTAAACTGGCCTTTTCCAAGGCAATCGCCCAAGCGTACGCATTGGGCCAGCGAAGCGGTCGTGGCCGTAAGTGCCAGTAGCTGGGTTTAGAAGCCAACATGTCAGCACCCGTGCAGACCCGAACGCCCGCTTCGATCTAAACTCGCACTTGCTACTCGCCCACTGTCGTCATAGCAACCAACAAATGATGAAATCGGCTGCCACTTTATGTCAACTCATGCTGGGGACAAGACATCAGGTACGTACTGTCTTAAGAAGATTAGCTGTGTTTATTTGGCCATGCCTGCTAAGCCTTGTCTCGAAGATTCAAGAATGACTCTAGAAAACACTGCAAAATACCGACTAATACATTGCTCTCGAAGCTTCGGTACGTAAATATAAATCATACAAATGCATGTCTTGCGAACTTATAGGCCACACAGCGCAGGACGACGACATAATAAAATCGAGGCGGAACGAAACTGGAACCAATTATGCCACCATGATGACCTTCCCTACCGTGGTCGTCTTTCTTTCTTGGCCTTCTGCAGGAATGATGAACATCTGCGTCGCGTTGCCTGCTCGGCTTCCCATAGCGTTTCCTTCACTTTAATTGCGTGTGCGCAGACTCTACAGGGACGCGAAGCAGATGACGCAGAGTGGTTGTTGAGCAGTACTGCAGAAGGGCACGGCAGAAGGATGGTCATGGTAAGGAGACGTCTAGAGTATTGTGGCGCCATCGAGGTTCGAGTGAGCAAACCAGCTGCACAAAATTGTCTATGACACACGCAGTAATCGACTAGCTCCACTTGTAAGCATAATAAAATCACACTTAACTACATCTTTCTGATATTCTCACTGCCAACTATTGTCAATACGAATTCTCATCTAATGCCAAAAAACTTGTGGAATAGACACCACATTGTTCAAACTTATTGAAGGACGTGTAAACAACACTTATCCACTGAAACAAAAGTGCAATGACCATAGAAAAGCTCGTAGATAATCCAGCTAATACTACACAAAAAAAACTCAGTCTCACAAAGGCAAACAGTGCGTACATCTCATTGTATGTCGTACGTACACCTGTTCACAGATTCAAACTCGACACAGTGCAAGTACTTTAGTTCATTCACATCACGTAATATCAACGTAACTTTACCTTCGACACTCACATGACAGCCAATATTACCTTCAGCGGCCAGATTCACGGAGATATGTTTAGCAATTGTGCATTCCGGTCAGTACACAAAGTTTTGATGTGGCATTTAGATCCATGAGCACTTTACTTTGTTACAAGACTTATTGACACGCGAAGCAAGCAAAAGAAACGCCATGTCAGTAAAAAATGAGCATGTATATATAAGAAACAGTACTGTACGAACAAGAGGCCCACCACGAAGATTACTCCTGGGTAGACGTGACAGCAGTGACTAAACGAACCAGGGAAGGCAACTGCGCCAAATCCTCGTGCCGCCTGCAGCACAAGGCAAACGATACAGATGCTCAATGGAAGACAGTGTCTCGAACAAACAAAATTTAGAAAGAATTAGGTGCTTGCTAAAGGATTATGAAATGCATGCACCTAGACGTAGACAAGGGGTCCATATGAACAGGCACTTACGTGTGTCGACCACTCGCCTCTACCTAGTTGCATGCATTTTATAATCCTTCAGCATCACAAGCAACAGCAACAAGGCTTATTGGATTCACTGCTCCTCCAGAAAATTCATGCGTATGCACACCTCCATGACGTGAAGCATGGAAGCCAAGTTTGTGTGAAGATTGCTATGAAAAACAGCGCTATGCGCGTAATCCGAAAGTTGCAAGTACGGTCCCTGCCTGGTGTTTGTTGTCTTTTCATTCACTTTACTTTTATATCACATTTACTACAATGCAACTTGAAGAGTACAATTAATGTTCCATATACCATCCTTGTCTTCATTATTTCCTGCCTGTCATTAAGGTTGTGTCAAACAAGGAAATGAGCCCTCAAAACTGCCTTCACAAAGGGGGCCCACCAACACTTCTTGAGTATAGTCAAAAAACGCTGCCGATATGTAGTTGGGGCTCCCGAGAACACACAAGTCAAATGCTATAGCACAGCACGCCGCCTGGAATTCACAATAAATTCTAAACGTCAGCTAAAGATCGCTTTCTCTTCTCTCGACAAATGATGCTACATACTCCAAAATCATTGCATCACAGGCCCAAGTATCCTGCCATTGGCTGATTTGAGCGTGGCGGGCTCCCAGTTACTGGGGCTGCGACTTGCCCACAGAGGCTGCGACCTGCTCACAGGTGCGCTTGTGACCGCAATGAAAATCCGCGCGTTCAAAGGAAACAAAGAGAAAGAAACCACTGGAAGTAACGAGGCTCGTGTGATGTATTTTCTCTCCCGGTGCCATCTCTCCCAGCTTAGCTTCCAGAACTTTTGTCAGGACGAGAGAAAAGAGAAAGCCATAGCAGCATGCGACAAATCTTTGCAGCTCCGCTTGTACTAGATAGATTCTAAATATTTTTGCGGCATACAATTTGTGAGGCAAGAAGCTTCTTTATTGGATCCAGTCGATGGCTACTTCAAAAAAGTGTTGCAGGGCCCCTTTAATGACAAACTGATGGATTCAAAACAGGCTTACCTCTTCAGCTCCTCTTCCTTTGGAGGTGTCAGTATGTCTGAGGCAGCTCTAAGCAAAGAAAAAGGAAGAAAAGAAAGCAACAGCTTCTAATATCTTTTAAAAGCCCTTTATAGTCACTTGGAAAAAAACACCTTGAAGAAACACTTTGAACACAACTGATAATATTTTCGCATCACCTACTTTCATGTCCACCCTGCCTAGAGTCTGTTTTCATGTTTGATAAGGCATCCAAGACTTTCGCCTTTATAACAGTTATAAAATGGTTTTGGGGCATTTCACTTCCACCAAAATAAATACGTTAGAGGAGAGAAGAAAAAACAAATATTACATACTTGCCTTTGCACATCTACCTTGAGCGCACATCAATTGTGGGTTACACATTCATTTTATTAACAATGATTTGCCTTACAGCTTAGCACACAGGCAGCAACAAACACAGAATAAGAAGGTGCACATTATTTGCAGATAACATTAAGGTTGGCTATTTTGCTGAACAGCAACAGGCAACTATTTGAATCATTTTTTTTCGAGGCACATATCTCTCTGGTGCTCTTTTCCTTTCACATGACATCCAAATCATTTTAAACACACGAGAGAAACTTTACTACAGCCACAAATTTTTGTGAAATTCGTGCAGAATTTGTGAAACTAATGAACAAGCTCTAATTAGCAAACCTTGGGGAAACTTGTAGTGTACAAAACAAAAACACCGATGAAACAAAGGATAATGGGATGATGCACTTGCTCCATCCGTGTTTTTTTTGTGCCTACTAGTTTCATAGTGTATCCCCACCAATAAGCCCAACCTTACAAAAAATTCAGGAGGTGACTTGTGCACATAAATGTGAAAGGTTGTACGGCCAGAGGTGGACGGCCAGCACGCCCTCGTTTCCCTATTTTTCTTCCGCAAAGTAATTTCGATGTGACGGAGCTACCAGAATTTCTGACACAGCTGAAAGGAACGAAATGCAGTTCGATGTTGCGAGTGCAGCCTCCGGAGATGCATTCCTGGTGTCACAAACGCGAGATGCATTTTTGGAGATCATTCATTAACTCTGATTCTCTCCAATGAGCTCTCCAATGAGATTTAATGCACACTTCCGTTTAACACACCAGCGTGTAATCACAGCTTGCCACTTTCTGCAGAAACTGAAGTCTCAGCAGTTTCAGTTGCTGTTGAAGAAAAGACATGTATGTCCAAGGGCTTATTTTTTTCTTTTTTTTTCTTTGTCAGACCCAATAATAAAGAGAACTAACAGACAACGATATCCAGAAAAATCTAGGGGATATATTGGAAGTAACAGTAAGGTAAATGTGAAGAAATAAAAGTGGACGAAAAAGATAACTTGCCACCGGCAGGATCCGAACCTGCGAATAACGCGTCCGATGCTCTACCACTCAGCTTAGGTGGCAGTCATCCCCTGTTCACTTTATAGGATACACAGTCAAACCCCGCTACAACAAAACTGATGGGGCGCGGAAAAAGTTTCGTGAAAATCTAATTGCAGTGGAACAAAAAAAGTATAGCTGATAGGAGCTAGCAAAACAAAGAAACCTTTATTCTCAACATTCAAAAAGTGTCCGCCGCTTCCTATTCTTTTCCAGCAGCGTCATGAGATAATACACAGCGAGACCATGGTGAAAAGCATGCTGAAACAACGCATACAACCACTTTTGTGAACGAACTAAATAGTTGCATTAACACATTAACACCAGCAGCTGTCCACCGTCAAAGCATATCCAACAATGCCGAGACGGAGACGGGGTATCATGGAGTGGTGACATTTGCCTTATTCTATGCCATTCTCATCGTACACCGCTCGCGGATAGCTGATTTTGTTGATAATGTGGACAAACAGCTGCTCTGATTAGTTACCTCACTGGCCAAGCGCAAACAAAATAAGCATCGTAATCGGAAAAGGCATTGTTCCGCACATGCACCCAGTAGCTGCGTGAAAAAAACCATAAACTGAGCAACTAAGCTTCAGCTTTGGATCGTCTGCGGCTCAAAAGCAAGCCAGTGGCAAAAGCAGCACAGTCTCATTGCCATCCCTATCGAGCAATGGCGGTGTCCATGCTTGCTGAACAGCGGCGGTTTCTGGTGGTGCCAACGCATGTTTTAGACTTCATCGACGTATTTTCAGGTTCTGAAAATGCATCAAAATGTTAAAGATTGTATTATCTATTGCCTTTTCTGTTGCAATTAAGCCTTTGAAGTCCTTTAAATGGTCCCGGTTTTTGCAGATCTGGCATACCTAAACTTGACACGAAGTGCAAATCCTCAGCCGACTCACCCTGAATGCTTGATGATGGCGGTGAGCTCCAGCACTCTCCGTTCCAGGACGGCCAACGGTGCTCCTTGCACCTGGCAGCTGTTGCACAGTTGACCTGTCTTAGACAGGCACAGCAAGGCCCGAGCCACCAAGTCTTGAGACCGCACGGCCAGCTGCAGTCACACATAAGGTTGCAAAATAACTGACATTTGGGCGAGTTTGATGCTGTTAAACTTGTTGAGTGGATACAGCGTGAAATAATGAGGACAAGAAGAACAGAAGGGAGCTGAACAGCAGCGCTGGTCTCAAAACTACCTTTATTTGCACTGAAACACATATTTTAAAGCACAAACTACACTCAAACTTCGATATAGCGAACCAGGATATGAACAATTATTGGTAATGTCGAAGTGAATGAAGGACATCTCCGTCATAGATACAAGGTTAATATATGTTTACAATGAATTTTCTGATATAATGAAATATTTTCGTGGCAGGTATGACTGTTATAATGAGGTTTTAGTGTATAACCTTGTAAACACATGATTCAAGGTTGTGCATTAAAATATGTGTACATGTGTGTGATGGTTAAGGACATTCGTCACTATGCTTGTCAATAGCGGACGAAAAAGGATTAACATCAACAATTGATGCGAACAAAAGAAGCTTTATATTGAACACTAGAAAAAGAAGTGACACTTTCTTGTTGATGTTCTGCGCGAACCAATGGCTCTGCGCCTCCTGCGCGGGGAACACGCCCCCAAGCAGCTGCAGCAGCCCGATGAAGGCCAGCGTCGGGTGCGGCAGGTGCGGCGGAAACACCTACTTGTACAGGCACACCTTGTTCTTCTCGGTTTTGTGCACTTCCTGGTCCAGGAATGGGAACGTCGCAGTTTGGGTCCCCGTCGTCCCGACACAATGCGGTCGTCGACGTGCGCGAGGGCAAAGGTGGCACGGCTGGAACGGCTGACCGCACACGGATGCGCTACCATGTGCAGCACCGTTGAATCGGACGTCGCGACCAACCCAGCCGCCTGGTTCGCAACTCCCGAGGTCCAGGATCAGGCCATGGCTCACGAGGACCACGCCCGGTAGGCCTCGCCCACGAACCTGCTCCCGGCCACTGCACCCGGGCAGGAGCTAATCAGCAGGCCCCGTCCTTGGACCTTGTACAGGCTGGAGGACTCGACCCCGAACGAACACACCGGAGCTCGACCTGGCCGACACGTACGGGTCCCACGTCCGGCTCAGGAATCCTGGCATGAACTCCCCCTCTCGAGCGGCGCACCGCTTTGTCTCGGCACCGCTGGCGATCCTCGATTCAGCCAGCAACTCCCCTGGCACCTTGATCCTCGGCCACCCTGGACCTTGCACGGCTCCGTGGTCCGCCGTGCATACGCCCGCGTCTCGCCCGGCAGAACGTCTCGCTCGTCCCTTGCCGATGTGCGACACATTGGTGACACCGGCGCTTGATGGCATGGGTGCGACAACTGCGCAGTCAACCCGCATCGGAGACGCGATGCTCTATGCGGGGAATGGCCAGCCCGTCCAGCGAACAGCTTGCGTCGAGACGCGATGCTCGGCGCAACCGTGACCATTAGCCAGGCCACGTTCATCGCTGTGCCGAACGGCTGACCGTGGAGACGCCTCGCCGAGATCCGCGATGCCCTCGGCAAGGAAGAGAACAGCAGGCCAGGCCGCGCCCCGAGATGCAGTACTCGTGCCGGCAATGCCGCCCCGGCTGGTGGTTGGACGGCAGCAGCGTGGACGGCCGCATTCCCTGGCCGGAACCTGGATCGCCTGCGTCCGACGCTTCGGCCCGCTGTCTTTTGTCTGCCGCTGCTTCGGCTCGTCCCCAGCCACAAAGCTTACTGCCACGTAATGGTCACACGTGGCCCAATCGTGGCACGCCACCTCTATGGGCCACCACAGGTCACCAGCTGATTCGCTGACACTCACGCGCACATTACACGCGCCTTGCCCCGCACTTCCGTCGTTCTCGTTTTCTTCACTCATCACAACCGGGTAAGAAGTGCGCATCGCGGTACCGTTGATCGTACAAACGCCGCTGGTTCTCTTGAGAGGCCAGGAAGCGAGTGCGGGCGATTTCGCATGCATTGGCAGCCCGAGTGATAGCGTCAAGGGCATATTCGCTGGTCGGTGTCGCGGTATACGAAATGACTGTATCTAGGGGTAATGTATGTTCTCGGCCGAATAACAGAAAAAATGGGGAGTAGGTGGCAGTGTCATGGCGAGAAGAATTGTAGGCAAATGTGACGTACGGCAACGCGAGATCTCAGTCGGTATGGTTGGTAGAAACATACTTAGCGAGCATGTCTGTAAGAGTTCGATTTAGACGCTCCGTGAGTCCATTGGTTTGCGGGTGGTATGACGTAGTCAGCTTGTGTCTCGTTTGACAGGACTGCAAGATGTCGGCTATGACCTTCGACAAAAAGGTGCGGCCACGGTCTGTAAGCAGCTGCCGTGGGGCTCCGTGTTGCAAAATCACATCCTTGAGGAGGAAGTCGGCGACATCTGTGGCGCATCTTGTTGGAAGAGCTCGTGTGATGGCATAACGCCTGGCGTAGTTGGTGGCCACGGCTATCCACTTGTTACCCGAGGAAGACAAGAGGAAAGGGCCAAGCAGGTCCAAGCCAACGCGGAAGAACGGTTCTGACGGAATGTCAAGTGGTTGAAGGCATCCGGCGGGAGGCATCGATGGTGTTTTGCAGCGCTGGCATTGCTAACAAGCCGCAACGTATCTTTTGACTGAGCATGCAAGGCCTGGCCAAAAGAAGCGTCGGTGTATTCGGTCCTTAGTGCGTGACACACCAAGGTGACCAGCAGTCGGAAGGTCATGAAGTTCATGTAGAACTTCCGAGCGAAGGTCTTTCGGAATGACAAGCAGCAGGGCCGGTCCATCCGGCTCAAAACTTTGGTGGTATAATACACCATCCTGGAGCACGAATGAACGATAGGACTGATCGGAAGATCGTGATTCGAGGCGCTCAATGATAGCACACAAGAACGCATCATGGCGCTATTTGTCACCGATGCATGTCATTTGCGAAAGGAAAAAGATGCAAGGCTCGGTGTCGGTGTCAGGCATAGAGCTCGACTCAGCAACTGGGTAGCGAGACAGGCAGTCTACATCCTGATGTAGGCGTTTGGACTTGTACGTTACCGTGTAGGTATACTCTTGCAGTCGCAGAGCCCAGGGCCCGAGCCGGCCAGTAGGATTCTTCAGTGAGGAAAACCAACGCATGGTGGTCCGTTATTACAGAGAAGCTCGTGCCATAAATATGGGCGGAACTTCGTGACGGTCCAAACAAGAGCAAGACATTCACGCTCTGTTATTGAATAGTTGCGCTCGGCAGCTGTGAGAAGGCGGCTAGCGTATGCGATGACTCGGTCGTGTCCCCGCTGGCGTTGGGCTAAGACGACTCCAATCCCGTTAACACTCGCATCGGTTCTGACTTCTGTCGGGGCAGACGGGTCAAAGTGCACCAATATATGTGGAGTCGTGAGGAGGGTGATGAGTTGAGAAAAAGCGGCAGCTTGAGCGGAACCCCACGTAAAAGTCACGTCTTTCTTCAGAAGGTCGGTGAGTGGTCGAGCGGTTGTTGCAAAATCTTTCACGAACCTTCTAAAATAGGAACAAAGTCCCACAAAGCTCCGGACATCCTTGACAGACTGGGGTGCAGGAAAGCTCGTGACGGCACGAAATTTCTCTGGGTCACGCACACCTGATGCGTCGACAAGGTGGCCCAACCCCGTAATCTGCTGGCGGCCGAAGGGACATTTCAACTAGTTTATTTGAAGGCCAGCAGTGCGGAAAATGTTGAGAACTGCTGAAAAACGCTGGAGGTGCGTCTCAAATGTAGGCGAATATACAAGGACATCATCCAGGTAGCACAGGCATGTTGAACACTTGAACCCTTGCAATAGCGAGTCCATCATAGGCTCAAACGTGGCTGGGGCATTGCATAGCCTGAACGGCATCACCTTGAATTGGTATAGGCCGTCGCGAGTAACAAACGCAGTCTTTTCTTGGTCTTTCTCGTTCACCGCAATCTGCCAATAGCCAGAACGTAGGTCAATTGAAAACTATCACGCCCAAGGACAATAGAGGGCGTCATCAATTCGGCGCAAAAAATAAACCTTCTTTTACGTGATTCGATTAAGATGGCGGTAATCAACGAACCCAGAATCGCCACGTGTCATCTTTCTTTTTAAGGGGAGACGCTCCTCGAAAAAGTTTTTTTTTTATTTCTAGTAATAGAGACTTGAAAAGTTTGTTATTAGTATAGTTTTTCATGCAGATTTCAAATATGCAATCATTTTTTGTGTAGATGCTATAATTATTGAGTTATGCCATAAACAATAGCAAAAAGTTACATTTTTTGCGGGCACTCTTTTATGTACTAAACTTTCAGTAAAAGCACTGTGTCTGATCTTATTTGACACTTGGTAAATTGAAAAGTGCAAATATCTATATAGATATGTCACAGAAATATTGGAACCAAGAAAAAAAAATTGTATTGAATGACTTATTATCTTCAATCTCCCTTGAAACAATAAGCTAATATTTTCACAACTAATGCTGGTAGGCATTGCAATTTAGAGTAGATATTTGCATTCTGCATGTGTTGAAGAATATGTGTGCCAAGTTTCGTTACTATACAATGAATATAAGTTTCTAAAAGGCTGCCCGGAAAACGTGAAACTGTCAGAAAAAATGAAAATGAGAAAAACAAGTTTGAAAGTTCGCAAAGTTGGCATTTATTAGGAAATCATTCTTTTTGCATGAAATTGGGGCACAATGAAAAGTACCTTGCCTTGAATGCACTGCAAGTGTCTAGAAGTCCCCTGCACCATAGCTTGGTCCTTCACGGCTCTTGCGGTCAGTGTCCTCAACACGAGCTCTCTTCGCTGTGTTGCGACGGTGTGCCCTCGCTTCTGCAGTTTGCTTCAGGTTCATCGTCCTGATGCGCATGACGTCACAGTGGTCACCATGTGTGGGCCAGATCTTGTGAGGGGAGAATTCCAATGCCTTCGAGCACTTCTTCAAAGCCCCTGAGGCCTTTGTTGTACCAGAGTACAGCAAGAGCGGTGGCTGTCTCCACAGTTGTTCTGGAGGCGAACTTTGTTTTTGGACATAGCAGCCATATCT